TTCCTTTTTTTTTTTTCTTTCTTTTTTTGTGTGTTAATTTCAGCACTTTATATTTCCCTTTTATCATTTTCTTGCAATTCAATCTAGGCTTCCCAATCCGAACCTATTTCATTTTCCCTTTTATTGGTTGCTTGGTGCCACGATAGTCTTTTCTTTCATTTTCCACATACGGCGCGTGTTATATCGGTTCCTTTACAATGTTGATGGAAAATGCAACATGTTCCAAATCCTAAAGCCTTGTTTGGACGCACTCATTTTGAGATTTCCTTTTTTCCACTTGCCATCCATGCCATCTTATCTACATCCACAATGTTTTCATCATATGGTAGTTGATATGCCATACTTCAATTTTGTCTGTTTATTTCTAAAATTGACCTTATTTACCCTCTTAATTTCATCTACCACAAACATATCTTTTGTTAAAAATACATCTCTTGTTGAATTTGAATGAATACGTTCATATCAACAACTGTAATTCATTCATATCATATTACAACTAAATGAATGTAACCTTACATGTAAACTAATTCCATGCACAATTGTAATTCATTCTTATTATATTATGATGTTATTTTATATTCACAAATTCTTTCATCTTTGTGTCAAAGCAAGTAGGAAAGCAAAAATGACAACTAATGCAATTTTATATATATGTATATCATTTGTATTACCTTATATATCTCTATAATATTTTTATAACAAAATTGTCATTACGTCAAGCCATGTGCTGCTCTAAAATAAAGATAAAAAGGGTTTAAACTTTATAAATAAATTAAATATCTCAAATTATTAGATTTACCATCTCTATGATTACCATCATCTTGTTCATTCAAATTATTTCATGTTTAGGTTATACAAATTTGATAATGTTGTGAATAAATGTAATTCGTTGTACAGTCAATGAAAACATTCATCAATCTCAAATAAACACTCCTTAAAATTACTAACAAGGAATTACAATAATGGTTGTTTGTAAACATTTCAATGACCTGCTAGACAAACAAGGCATAACATAATTAGGCATACGGCATATACTGCAGCTTAGATTCTTTAGAAAGAGAAAAATGAGAGTCTTCCTACGCGCTTTTTAGAGAGTGGTCCTTCTTGTGACTAGTGATCATATTAGAATAGTATATTGTTAATTACACCTTAAACTTTTTTGATTTACGAACTTAATCCAATTGCTATCCAATTCCTAATCAGTAATCAAGCTGTCATCTAATTTTCCAGGTTTTCCTATAAAGTCAAGACTACTTATCTTGATTTTGATTTATCTCGATTTTAATATTTTTTATGAGAAATTCATATTAACGAAGAGTTAAATATATTTTAAAAAAAATTTATATTTTTAATTTAAAAAATATATTTATTAATTTTAAAAAATTATTTATAAATTAAGATTCATCTCATTTGTTATCAATATAAGATTTATAACATTAAAATAACTTAACACAACTTGAATTTAATGTTTAAATTTTTTTTTTTTAAAAAAAGGGGTTTATATCTTTTCCTATTTTTGGTTATAATTTAATTGACTGTTTGTGCTACTCGAGACAACTTGGTTTCATAAATTTGGAACCAAGACAGTTCCTTGTAAAAAATGAAAAGCAAGACAATAATTTAATATAAGATTTGGATTAGAAGTTAAATGAATACTTAATTTTTGTTTTCTAGGTTCCAATTTTGTTTCCTTTTGTAGAAATTTGCTCCTCATGGGATCAAGGGACACTTGAGAAAAATTGATATCGCAAAAGTTGACATATTCTTCCATTATATAAAAGACTAACTAATAGTCAAATTTTCACCTTATAAAGGAATGTTCTTATTCTGCAATTTCTTTTCCTCTAAAAGAAAGGATAAGAGGACTTTTTTTTTCCCCAGATCTATACTTGAGTCATTCATTGCGTGAATTAACAAGGTTAGCAATTTATGGACACATTCAATGCACATTAAGTTTCAACAATATGTAGATTTTTCTTTTTAACAAAGAGAAAAAGAAACTGAATATCAAATTTCTCAAATCATTAATCAAACAATTCAACTGCGACAAAAATTAAATTGGATTGAAAATCATGTACAATTTTATTATGTGTGTGTATGGACACATCCACCCCTAATCCTACTATTGAGTGGATTAAAGATGGTATGAATTTTGATAAATGTTCAAGGAAAAAATATCAAAGTTGGGACCTTCTTGGTCAGTAGAGTAGTGCATTGACCGTATAAAGATAGTGCTTCTTGATCAAAAGGAAGAATGGTCAATAACCAAATACCTTTGTTACATTTCAAAGTAATAATAAATGATTTTTTAAATGAATTTGAATGTTAAAAATAATATATTTGGAGTATTGGGTTTAATTCATTTATATTTTGACTGAAAATCATGAAATTATTTCATGTATTAGAGGGTTAAATACTTAGATTTAACTGTTCATTAACATTTGATTATTAAAAGGAAAAAATATTGAATAGTTTAAGTTTAAATTAATGTAAAATTAAAATATAATATTAAACAAATATTGTTTATAATCGAATTCAAGTAGTAAGAATTTTAACATTACTACTCAAACCTGTATAAAATAGTAGTTTTACTCTTTAAATCCAATTATATGATATTCTAATCTTATTTAATTATATCAGATAATGCAAGTTGCTATATTATAAAATATTTATTACATCCTTAATTATAATTAACTATTGATTAAAATTTGACTGTTAGAAATAAAACCTATTTAAAAAATTAATTTCACCTTGCATGCAAACAATTAAAGCAATTAAATGTCTGGTAAGGGCGAATTTGGTCATTTAAATAAAGCCCATTATTTGAGAATTTGTCCAAAAGTCATGTTCAGTTTTGAAAAATATTGTAAAAATTCTTATCTTCGGAGTAAGCGTGGCCTTAAATTTCCATACCAAATAGTACGGAGGCCAAGTAAGTCAAGTCTAACTTTTTTCCACAATGCGTACGGTCAAGATTGGTGGAAAATACCCAACGCTCTCCCGATAAGCAAAACCAACAGTAACGTGGAGCACGTGATCACCGACCCGAAGCGGGAGGACGACGCTTCCATCTCACGCGCGGGTGGATTGGTTTTATTTTATTCATTATTATCTGAGTGTTTTTTCGGGAGCATTAAAAATGGTGAGCCGCACGGGATGGTGATGGTCCAGCAAGATCCAGCCATTCCATATAAGGAAAAATATGATCCAAAGAGATTTAGACTGGCATCTTTTACTTAAAATAGAACACAAATTTAGAAATGAGCAGAAAAAGAGGGAAAAAGTTTTAAGGTGCTTACAGAATATAAAGTGGATTTCCTCTCCTTTTCACTTTAGGCCTGTTTGGCATTTCCGTTGGTTATCTGCAAAAAATAATTGCAAAAAACATCTTAGAAAGCGTTTTTGCAATTACTAGAACCACTTTTAAATATCAAATAATCAAAATTATTGAATTATTTAAAATAAAAAATTTATTGCATTTAAAAAATAGCGAGAATATAGTTATTTAATTTTTAGTTCAAAGTAATCTTAAAATTTTAAAACAATCTAAATAATGTTTTTCGTGTATGCGTTTAAAATTAAATTTCGTAATAATTTTTCTGAGTACATCTTAATAATTATTATTAAATAATACAAGAAAATAAATATTTTTTATTTTTCAGCATCACGTCTTTTCCATACATTTTAACTCTTTATCCTATTTATTCAGAGTAATATCAAAGATTTCGACAATAATTTTTGGCAACACTTTTTAAACGCAAATTTCTCAACCGCAACAGTAATTCCAATTCCAACACTGGCTTTTTCCAAAAGCACTTGTCTTTTTTGATCTTTTCATTCCCTTTCAGCCATTAATTTAAGTTTTAGTGGAACTTGCTGTTTTTTTTAGCTTTTGAACCTTTTGGTTGAGGTTGTTTTTTTTTGGGGGGGATTTTTCTCTTGTTTTTAGTGTAAATTATAGGTGGGCAAAATTTTGATACGATACTTATTTATTATATTCATAGCGATTTTTTTAAAAAAATTTTTACATGTAAAATTAAAATTTTAAACTTGATAAGGTTAATCAATTAATATAATAATTATTATTGAACGTTAAATAAATATGGTGAGACACTTAGTCCCTTATTTGTCTTTTTAAATCATTTTGTCACTCTTTTAATTTTAATAGATCTTTAAATTTCTCAAAGTTATAATTAGAATTTTAAAATTCTGACCGCACAAATAATTCCAAATCCTCATGGTTTAAATTATATCCACACAAAGAATCTAGATTTTAGATTCACAAATAGACCACTGGATTTAATTTCATGCATTTGTTTTTTTTTTCCTTTCATTTCTTTCGTGATTAGCATTTGACTTTAAACATCAATCCTATTTGAATAAAAGAACAAATTCTTATAATTAAAAAGTCTATAAAAAGGACAAAGTAAATTAACCATAATATTAAAACGTTACATTAATTTATTGAATCACTCTTTTACTTATACCACAATATCGTAAATCTTTCGATTAAATAATTTACGAAGGTAAAAGTAATTCAACTAATTACCCTAAATAAAAAGTCAAAATGTTAAAAAGTAAATCCCTGTTTTGTATTATTATACATACAATTCTCAATTAGAACAATAGAAAAGCAGAATTGAAATGATCACATGTTGAATTTACGAGGTTGAAATAAAGAGAGGAAGCTTTGATGATTTTTACTGGTTAAACAAACATGATCCTTCCCCTTTTCTCCTTTCTTTTACGTCACCACTGGCAAGCTCACCATTATTAGTTATGACAAAATTTTAATACTTAGCAACAGTTTTTGAAAATAACCCGACTAGTCAAATATTTCAACACATTATTTTTTTTTTATGTGGCAAATTCCATTATGTTGAAAATGATGGGA